ATACTTAACTAAATAAATTTCTTTTATCTTAATAGGTTTAAATTAATTTTACATAATTTCTCCTTTGCGGCGCAAAGTATAGTACCAATTTGCGGATAGGTTAGAGTTTGAATCCCGTCTGTATTTCTGTAATTCAAGAACTATAGTTACGAATCTTTTACCCATAGATAGGTCCTACAGAATGGGCATAGAAGATTAATTAAAGGTTCCATCGGATATCGCGTGGCACCGGCAGCGCGCGACGTAAACATTTCAGCTCATTTGCATATTATCTAGAGATAAATATATTGTTTTATTGATAGAAACGGGGTCATTTTTATTATTTTCTTACAAGATGCAATTTATATTTAGTTTGTTATCACGTAAAAAGATTTGTATGATCACCCGAAGCTCTGAGTACCTTAAATCTTCATACGAATGGCTCCCTACAGGAACATTTCAACTGCAAATGATAATGTTACAAAATGGATATCGAGAAATGTTTATTCTCTTCTTCTTTATCTAATGATGGAACCTTTTGACAGCGTATTTTCTCCTTATATTATTATAGAAAATAATTATCCTGGTAACCATTGAATACGACTCTGNACAGGAACATTTCAACTGCAAATGATAATGTTACAAAATGGATATCGAGAAATGTTTATTCTCTTCTTCTTTATCTAATGATGGAACCTTTTGACAGCGTATTTTCTCCTTATATTATTATAGAAAATAATTATCCTGGTAACCATTGAATACGACTCTGATATAACTCTCGTATGTGTGTATATATATATATATATTAATAATAATAATAATAATAATAAATAATTTAAAAAATAGAAAATAGAAAATAATAATTGGATAGTTAAACGAGTTCTTTCTAAACTGAATCTGATCTCATTAGAGACAGAGAAACCATTTGGGAACAAAGAAGCATGAACCACATGACAGGAGACACCCTGGATAAATATATAGGATGACTTTGTACAGAATTACATTTCTTCGAGATTGGATGGTGTCAGACAGGGAGACTGAGAGTTTTATTTCTGATTTAGAAATAGGAGATTTATAAGAAAAATAATATATATAAAAACAACAAATAAAATATTACGTTCATAAAAATGATAATTTTTTAATATATGAAATACTTTCCATAATACAATTTCTTTGAGTTTCTATCAAATCTATTAAAGTGCAATAGTCTATAACCTGTTTAAAGCGGAATCCTTCCTAAACAGATGGAAATTCTTCGAAACCTAGCAATTTTCTATGTTAAATAAACCTGTTCAAAACGGAAACCTTCTTAAACGAGAAAATATTCGATACAGTGCGATTCCGTCTTACGGAGGTTTTATTGTATTTACAATACTTTAAGTCAGATCTTAAATTTCGCTTCTTCAACAAATGACACGTAATTAAACACGGGGTAGCCCATAATTTAGTTAACCGAAACTGTTACTCCGATCAATATGTCCGGAAAGTATAACGAAAGTCTTATTTGGAACAGTTTATTTTTTAATAAAAAAGTGCGCTTAAAACGGTTAACTGAATTTTGGACCACCCCTTATATGGAGAAGTATTAACTGATGTAATTATTTATTATAATATAGTATAATATAACGTAATATAATCAATATAATGAATAATTTTTGAGCTATTATATTAATAAATATAAATTTAAAAAATTATTTTTATTCAATATTTATGAGAAATTACAATTGATTTTCGTAATTTGTAACTATNTTTCATGGTACAATTTGGATGATTCAGAGCACAGCACATGCTTCAACTAACGCTCTTCATTTGCATAAACATGTTCGGATTTTTTTTTTACATTTGTTACCGAATTTCTAACAATTATTTCTTATAAAAGAATCAAAGTTTTAGTAAGATTTTATGATTTTATTGTTAAATTGTTAAAGTTGATCTGCCGTTTTAAATGATCATCAAAAAAAATTTATTACATGAAATTTTCTTCAGAAATATCAATATGGCGAAGTTTGCTGCTGTCTTCATCAATGTGATGTTGTTCACATAATGATAGTCAATTTGATACGTCAATATCTTCAAGATCTTGGCTACTTTCGTATTTATAACTTGTTCCTTCGTATCCTATTGAGTGGATTTCTGGGTGCTCATTTCTTAAATGCTCATTTAGTTTAGATTCATTTTCAAAGATTCGGTCACACAAAATGCATTCACAGTTTATTTCTTCGGTGTCAGAATATTCTTCGAGTTTTGATGAAGTTTCTGGATCATCTTCGATGGTAGTGTTGATGTTACCGTTCTTAAAACAAATGGAAATATATAATTATTCTTATGGGTTGTATTATTCTTCACAGAATTATTGTATTAACACTTATATTTTGTATTATAGTTAGTTTTAACATGCATTAGTTCTTTAATTCGTCATCAAGGAATCAAAATCATTTGATTCCTTGATGACGAATAGTATGGGCATCCAGATGACTGATGCGATTAAGGTACTAGCCTACCACTCTGGGGATCCTGGCAGACTATCCCAAAATTTTTTCATGGATATATCAGGCACCATCCCATGACATACCTTGAGAATTGTAGGATTTCTTTTTTGCATGGCCACGAAGATGTTTCTTCAATCCTCCCTTCCGTTTGAACATTTTACCACAAACTTTACATTTATGTCGTCGTTCCGATGAATGTTTTATAAAGTGCTGAGTGAGATTTGATATGGAACTGAAAGGTTTACCACATTCTCCACATGTGTACATGATATTTTCATGGCGTCTGATGTGAATTTCTAAATCGTGTTGAGTCTTGAAGAAACGATGACACGTTTCAGTCTAATTACAGAACGATTCCGTAGCCGTAGTTCTGTTTTTTACCACGAGATGTCGCTACTTCGTGACGTCAAGAAGCTGGACAAGCATAATTCTGATTGTACACCAGTCAGAATTAATTTATTACGAACAAAATTTGCTACTGTTCGTTTGTTGAACGTCAAATTTGTCTTTTTTGTCTAATGTCTTTTTTTTACTAATATTGTACAATGTACAATTTGTTATTGAATGTTTTCCTTTTGTACATTTCTGAATTGAGCGTAGTCATGATCCCATGTGCCACACGAGTAGAATTTATAAATTCCATGAATTTTAGACAGTACGACACAGTTAACTTTAGTTGGTTCTCAACTTATCTGTGGCCATTCGTAGAAACCTATCAAATACAGTACATAATATTTTTATTTACAACTGAATGAGCTGTTAATATTCATGAAAACAATTATTTTAAGATATATTAATTAAATACAGTATTTTTAAAATTTCAGAATAGAATTTACTTACCCTTCATAGTTTTGAATTCCAGCTTATCAATTTCACAGGCAAATCCATGTACAGGTACAGTACTTTTTACAAATCTTCACGTAATCGAAGGAAAGTAGAAAATCCTTTAGAAGATGAAGTCTCACGACAGAATATAGACTTTTCCTCCACCAGGATTTGCTTATGTTCTAAACCTACATGCTTATTAGTAAGATTTCTTTTTGAGAAGTGCTTTTTGAAGACATTTGTATTATTGCTAATAGCAATAACAACAAGTATTTTCTAATATATCCAACGCAATATTTTCCATAACGATTTCTTAGCAACGTAGCAGGAATACTTCACAACCAATTATCGATGATAAAGTATGGTTTTAAAGTTAAAATAGCGACAAAAAATTCCAAGCATACCGTACACTACGAGGTATACGTTATCTGAACGTCACGACACTACAGGCACCTCGTGATAAAAACTAGAACTACGGCTACGGAATCGTTCTGTAATTAGACGCCAGTGTTTTATACACAACAGACCGGGAAAGTAATAGCAATTATACAATACAATAACGTATATTACCAGATAACTTCTGGAAAAGATAGTCAAAATTCCTGAAAAATTCCAAAATTCTATAAGACATTTGTATTGCTATAAATTTTTGAATTAGGGGTCTATTAATAGGAGGCCATAAACCAATGTTTTATAAGAAAATATTTCCCCAAAAAAATTTCCTGAAGAAATGTGTCTGAAGTTAATACTGTACTGTACATGAAGCCACCTAATTCAAATTTGCCTGGGTCTCATGTGGCTATAATGCGCCTGGTAAAATATATAATAAAAAATAAAATAATACACGACAATTACTGTGATAAAGAAGAATTGATTTTACTCGTTCAATATTTAGTTTGATGGAATAAAAATTACACATGAGAAAAACCGAAATATCTATTTAACCTGGGCAATAAGCCATACAAATTAGGCGAAACTGGATCTTCTATACAGTCTGCTGGTGCCACGCGATATAAAATCAACTGATTTGCATATAATCTACAGTTAAATATATCATTTTATTGATTAAAATTTTAGTCTAATAGCCTATTTCGCTTTATTTCTATACCCTTACATATTGATGGAACAAATCATTTTACTTGTTTCATCAATATGTCTCAAAAGTATTGTTGTTTTTGTATTGTGTACAAGGTTTACTTCGCCTAGAATATCAATAAATCCGGAGCAGTTTTAGTCTTTTAATTTCTGCAATCTTCTAACAAACATTTTCGCTTAAAAGCCATATTAACAGAGGCATTTTTATTGTGAAATTCTAATAATATTCTCCCAAAAAGAGGTATTTCATATAGACTATTTTGAACTGTTTGCTATGGGTTTAATTGGAGCAGTGGTTCCCAACCTTTTTGGACAATATCTAATTGCATAAACTTCATAAATATAGTTGCTAATGCATAGAAGAACTTGTCGTTAGTTGTTTTACAAAATTTTAAAATTTACCATTTTAATTTTTAGATTCATTTCATGGTACAATTTGGATGATTCAGAGCACAGCACATGCTTCAACTAACGCTCTTCGTTTGCATAAACATGTTCGGATTTTTTTTTTACATTTGTTACCGAATTTCTAACAATTATTTCTTATAAAAGAATCAAAGTTTTAGTAAGATTTTATGATTTTATTGTTAAATTGTTAAAGTTGATCCGCCGTTTTAAATGATCATCAAAAAAAATTTATTACATGAAATTTTCTTCAGAAATATCAATATCGCGAAGTTTGCTGCTGTCTTCATCAATGTGATGTTGTTCACATAATGATAGTCAATTTGATACGTCAATATCTTCAAGATCTTGGCTACTTTCGTATTTATAACTTGTTCCTTCGTATCCTATTGAGTGGATTTCTGGGTGCTCATTTCTTAAATGCTCATTTAGTTTAGATTCATTTTCAAAGATTCGGTCACACAAAATGCATTCACAGTTTATTTCTTCGGTGTCAGAATATTCTTCGAGTTTTGATGAAGTTTCTGGATCATCTTCGATGGTAGTGTTGATGTTACCGTTCTTAAAACAAATGGAAATATATAATTATTCTTATGGGTTGTATTATTCTTCACAGAATTATTGTATTAACACTTATATTTTGTATTATAGTTAGTTTTAACATGCATTAGTTTTTTAATTCGTCATCAAGGAATCAAAATCATTTGATTCCTTGATGACGAATAGTATGGGCATCCAGATGACTGATGCGATTAAGGTACTAGCCTACCACTCTGGGGATCCTGGCAGACTATCCCAAAATTTTTTCATGGATATATCAGGCACCATCCCATGACATACCTTGAGAATTGTAGGATTTCTTTTTTGCATGGCCACGAAGATGTTTCTTCAATCCTCCCTTCCGTTTGAACATTTTACCACAAACTTTACATTTATGTCGTCGTTCCGATGAATGTTTTATAAAGTGCTGAGTGAGATTTGATATGGAACTGAAAGGTTTACCACATTCTCCACATGTGTACATGATATTTTCATGGCGTCTGATGTGAATTTCTAAATCGTGTTGAGTCTTGAAGAAACGATGACACGTTTCACACTGATATTTCTTCCGGGTGATTTTCTTTTCCGATTTTATAAAATTACAATATATATTTATTATAATTACTTACAAAAATATATATTTTTGTATTCAAAAACTTATTATATTTAAGAGAAAAGAGAGAAAAAGCACTAAGAGTGCCATTTTTTCCATTACTTTGGATGAGCATTCAACTGGAGATGGAAGTACTGTGCGATGAACGAAATTGACGTGTTTCTTTAAAGAATCCCTTCTGTTAGAAGCGTAATCGCAAAGGTGACATTTATGACTTTTTTCACAATAATGAGTTTTCATGTGTCTGCTCAAATTGTTTTTGTGTTTGATCCTTTTATTGCAATATTTACAAATTGCCTCGTCGTTTTCACAATGATTCTTCTCGTGAATTTCTAATAAAGAATTATTAGGAAATTTCTGTTTATAGATTTTACATTCTAGATTTTCTTCTTCATTCTAAAAATTATACATATTCATATTTTATAATAGTTGATATACAAAATAATACTTTAGTTATATGGTTTCATGTTTCATTAATTGTAATACCTCCATTGAGTGCAGTTCCTTAACATTTTTCGTTATGTTTTCATAATATCAATCATCATTTTTACGGATAAATAGAAAAAAAATTTCTTATAAAAGAATGGAATGCAACAATGTTTAACTTTTATTGTTCTCTTGAAATGAGTTGGAAGATTATTATGTGATTTGAAGTATTTATGCATCAACAATGAAAGTGAATCAATTGAAAGTGTTGATTACTTATGAAAAATCTTGTGAAAAGCATATGAAAAAAATTCGACGCAACAATCACTTATAAGCAATTTACTGCACAGTTAAGATAATACTGGAATTAGACTCTGATTAGAATCATTATCTACTCGTAGAAGCCATTCTACTACCTGATATTAACGCCAAAACGATTTGTATGACGAATGCCAAAGCATACGTCATACAAATTATTAAACACTTAGCTTTGAAACAACTATTCACCGATAGAAAATTCAATTTTGTTTCTAAAATAATGAAGATACGCTAGTTATTACACACAGAAGAACATTTTACAACAGCATATCACTTACAATGCAACGTATTGGTTGAAAGACTAAATAAAACGCCGATAGATATTCTAATACAATATATCGACAAAGATCAACGTAATTGGGATGAAATGATACCATATGCCCTTTTAGCGTACAACACTACAGTGCAATCACACTACTGTATATTACTTATTACATGGACGAGATTATGTCTATCCGTTTGATATAGTTCCAGTGTGGTCGGACTTAATGAATATTTTACTCGCTATTAGCATTCAAAATCTTATAATACAATTGAAATGGGTTAGTAATAATAACAGTAATAATAATAAGCTCAGACTTCAAACGGTTAGTAGTTAAAAGTAGAAATTTGGTACACAGTTAGGATACGTCTAGGGATTGCAATTGCTGGATCCCTCATCCAGCAATCCAGCTGGATCCAGCACATTTTTCGGCCTGTTGGATCCAGCACCAGGTGCTGGATCCAGTGCTGCGGATCCGCAAATACTCAATTAACTTTCTAAATAATGGCGCAAAAGTCTACGTTGTCGACCTTGCCGCTTTGCTATGTGCGCTATCGCTTGGCGGCGAGAGCGACGTTGCCGTTCAGTGCGGCACGTGCTACATCCCCTCTCTACACCGCACCGCCCGCCCTTTTACATCTGCTCATCTAATTGCCAGTTGACTTTCTACTATCGCTAAATAAAGTGTCTTCGCGCAAAATAAAACAAGTAACTCTTATCCTAGTCCTGGTGCATAATTCTAATTTACGGTTGGTTATGACGTCAATGAATCACATGACAGAACGATTGCAGTTTAAACTGGCCGTAGAAGCTCTCTGCAGAAGAGTCGAGTTTGATAACTGCTGACACAATCCTGAAATTTGTCTTAGACAAACTAAAATGCCAGGACACAATCTTGAGTGCCAACCTTTCCGAGGCACTCCGCAAAAGAATCAGAGAACGGCGTCTTACCGAGGTCACACGGATGCTTATTTACATACAGAACCCGAAGAAGTATGACCAAAAAGTTAGAAAGCTTTGTCTTTCACATGCCGAAAAAAATGTAATGCGCCAGGAGATGAAAAATATGCTGAATCGTGTAAATACATATGTAGTGGAACCAGCAGCAATGGCAGAGGATATTACTGAGGTGAAAAACGATGATCCAGATAACCCGGATTTCCTGAATTTCACATTGGAACAAGAATTAGAGATCCAACTAAAGCGTGAGAAAGAAAACTTCATGAAACGGAAAGAAACTAGTACTGAGAAGGATTTCTCGATTATACATCATTTGTCAAAAAAAATATG